CTGAAGTGCTATATAATATCAATTTTCATATATGGCCGTGAATGTTCGAGACGTTCCTCACAAATTAAGAGGAGACTTGACATAAATGTGGCCCCACAGAAGGATGCTGAGGATAACATGGATGAGGCATGTGAGACAAGAGAAGGTTTTAAGGAAAATGAAAACAAAAATGTAGTTACTCATAAAAATAGAGTTGACATTTCTAGGACAGATAAGGAAACAGGTTTTGAAGAATTTGATGCTCACAAGAAATAATAAAGACAATAAGAGCAGATGAAAACACCGAGTAACATAACTAACGAACCTGAGTAAACAGAAACATAAAGATATTAAGGATAGGGTGTTGTGGAGAGCCATGATCACCATCGCCTTGAAGCACATAAGAAAATAAAAGTACGATCGGTCTTCAATGAGTGATTTATACTTATGGCCTTGTGCCAAATTAAACTAATCTTAGTAAATTATATCCCTGTTTTAGTATGTGCGGTCCGTGTAATGGAGAACGACTCGGAATGGAAAGCCGTGTTCGAATTATAGTCGGTTTCGTTACATTCACACCCGTAGTGAGAGGTGTGAATAGATTTTCTCCAGTCAGTTATCAAGTTAAATTATCGGAGTAGATTGTTCTAATTCTACGTGCAATGCTCTTGGATATCTCCGATGGAATTAGAACAATCTACACCCGTAGACTAAATAAAAGGTTCGGTTCCAAATTCCAACAAATATCAGTTGAAGAAGGCCGGCGTGTATAACGGTCGAAACGTCGTGAGCATGGTAATAAAGATGAGGAAAAACAGTCCGAACAATGTAAATAGTGTAAATAGTTACAATGTCTCATCTCAGAAATATAGACAAAAAAAAAAAAAAATTAACATTGCCGCGTCATTCCCCATGTATATATGGTCTAGTGGATAATAGCATTGGCAATCAGTTAAAATAAAAATTGTTGAATGATAGATTTCAGAATTGTGACTAACTGAAATAGGAACGGGTGAGAGAAGTACTAATAAAAATAAATTAATAATTTGAAGTACTTCGTATAATAAATTCAAATAATTATGCTAACATGTTCTTTAAAGTTCGATATTTCACTCTCCCTAATAAATGTGTATACATAAAACAACCGTTTTTCTAATTAATTATGATTAATGCTTTTATTCTGAACAGTTTGAATAATTAAAGGTTAATTTAAAAGTTAATTTTAAAATAATCATCTTATACATCATTTGTAAACTTTATAATCCATTTTTAAGTCTTGAGATAGTGTGTGTGTACATATATATTAGGTTGGTGCAAAAATAATGACGTAATAATGTCGTTTTTTTGAGGTTAAAAATACGTCACAAAACGACATTATTGCGTCATTATTTTTACACCAACCTAATATATATATATATATATATATATATATATATATATATATATATATATATAAATATATTTTTATGTTTAACGTTGTTATTTATAGATACAAATATACTTGTATCTATAAATAACAACGTTAAACATAAAAAATAAATTGTCGGACCTTGTCCATTTTTAATATATATATATATATATATATATATATATATATATATATATATATATATATATATATAAGAAGCCAAAGTACCAAAGAAAAATGAAATAAAATTAAGAAACAGCAAAATCAATAAATCACCCCTGACCAAAAAGGGTCAAAATGAGAAGAAAGAAAACAGACACCTACGTAAGCAGTAAAATAACATGGTCTTTTGTCTGAATAAACAAGACAGTGACATTACTTCACTACTCAAAAAGAGACAAAGGTCAGTCCACTACTTACGTTTCACACTCCTTCAGGTGGCCAGCATGCCTGATGATCATGGTAGTGTGAAAATCGATATATATATATATATATATATATATATATATATATATATATATATATATATATATATATATAAAAAAAAAACTTCCGATTGTAAACTGGAAAATGTTAAAAAAAGCAAAATCTTACAACAATCATAGCAACATCTGCAGACTTTTTCAAAAACAGAAATCAGCCTAATAACATTTCCAGACAAAAAAAAAAAAAGTTATTATACCAATGTTCGGAAATTATGTTCCGTAGTATACATACTAAAAAGTTCCTTTTGAGTTCATTTGAAGCAGGATAAAAGAACGTATGTTTATTTCATTTAATCGCGCACCGATACATTACCAATAAACTTGATTATCCCCTCCTCCTCACCTTTTACCACACCTCATATCGTGCGCTTATTCCTTTATACATTTTTTGTAAATATGGCGTTCGTAAATTCTTACATTAAAAAAAAAATAAAACTTTAAAAAAATCAGTTGACCGTAATCGCCTGAAGATGCCGAAAGGTTGAAACCAAGTTAACGGAATCGACTGATTTCTTAATTTTCTATACTTAAAAGCTTCACATGTTAATTTTTTATTCTGTTTTTTAATACTACTATCTATATGTGATGCTCCTCAAAGGTTTCGGGAACATGAAGGGATATTGCCGTTATAGAGTGTGTTTTGGGATTTAAGATAAAGAATTACTAAAAAGTCAGATTAATTTAAATGATCATTGATCGAACCTGTAGTTAGCATCTGAAATATCTAGACCTTACGTAAATTATATCAGATTTTGTCAAACTTAGCAACATGCCGATTAGGGGTCTGTAAGCACTTTTACTTGATTAAATAAGTTACTTTCATTACACAGTCACATCCTCTATCAGTATATAAACCAAGCAGTATGTAAAAAAAAAATATCTAGCTTCTACGTTTAATACATGAATATTAAAATCACGAATCAGTGTTTTATTTAATATCAGCTAACATTATTAATATTTCTACTGCTCAGATCTACTTATATGTTCTCTGTAAACTAATATTTCATACAAGTCAATATTCTCAAAATAAACTTGGAATACTAGAAAAAGTTTCAGAATATATGTAAC